TTAGCCCTATTCAATAACTGATGATAACTGGACTTAGTGTCCTTATACACAGCCCTAAGTCCTCGTTCCTGGATTCTTTCGAGTCTACGAGTATCGCTTGCCCTACAAAAATGCCAAACAAGGTGGCAGTATGTTAAGTATGGCAAGATAGCTGATTTAAAAAGTACTAACTTTGCCGTGGTGGGAATTAAATTTCTCAATCTCATAATTACCCCAACCCTTTGACTAGCTTTGTTACATACGTCGTTGATGTGTTCGTTGAAATTTAACTTATTGTCTATTGTGACTCCCAAGATTTTCAACGAGTCAGATGTTCTTTTACTGAGTCCTTTTACGTACGCTTAATCTCACGGCACTTACTTTGAGGGAGTTTGAATAGCTATTAAAGCGGGCGGTAGTTTGAGTAGCTATAGGAACATTAAAGCGCACGTGCTTGCTGACTTAGCGAATTTGCATGCGCTTTGTCTTTTCAAGTTAAAGAAAATTAGCATACGAAACCATTGACTGGAACGGGTGGCCTATAAAACCCCACACGTTTTCAACGTTCTTCTCGAGGCAAAGCTTTTCAGCGAGTGATGCAACAGAAAGACTCTAAACCACACGCTTGTCCTGGTTCTACTGTTTGGACAATGTTAGTCACCGTCCCCTTCTTTTCAATACTATATGACGAGAGAGATTCAGGCAGAGTATCTCTTCATAGTTGCGGAGGTGTAGTAGATCTTCACAGAAATATGGCAATGATGTATGAAGTGCAAGATCTTGGTGCGGATAGCTTCATTTATCGATTTTCTGACTACAAAGCAACGAGTGATGAAGACTTTGCGAAAAGACACGAGCAAGGCAGACCCGTCTTTCTACTGATTGATGATTCCTATACAAAAACTACCGAGTACAAAGCAAGGGCAGATGCTGCGTTTGCTGAATACCACACAGAAAAGGAGCGGTCAAGAGAAATGTTCCGACAGATGCTACAGAAGAAAGCTTGAAGAAACAAACAAGCAATCACAGACGGCTCTTTTAGGAGCCACCACCTGAATAAAAGTTATGACCAATACTCAGTCTTGGTAGTATAGTGGTTAAGTATCCCTGCCTGTCACGCAGGAGACGCGAGTACGATTCTCGCCCAAGACAGCTCGTTCATTTTTATGTTTATTGCTCGGGACGTGTTCGATTGTGTAGTGGTTGAAAAGATCTTTTTAATTTTTCTGCGTTTGTAAAGCAATCAAATGACAAAAAACAATACGCTTTACCGACTCTGGTAGCCCGAACGGCTATTGTGGGTGTCAGGAATTTGTATGACTACCCAGATGCTTTAATGGAATTACAAGAGACTTTTAAACGCAGTTTACATTTACCTACAGAACAGTGTAAAGACGTCTAGGAACTTTGCAAGGCATTTAGTTTAAGAATGTAATTGACTTTATAGAAGGGTAGTACAATAAAAACATTGTTTATTATATAGCTTAAAAAATGTTTTTGCACAAGTTTTACTTCTGCGCATGCGTAGTACACTGCGCATACGTACTGCGCAGGGAGACTTTATGCCGCAAGTGTGAGCTGAACCCTTCATCCACATACAGCTATTTCTAGAAAGGTTGTCGGAAAAACTGTGCACGCGACAATCCCGAAAGGTAATATGGGATATGCTCAGTACACTGTTCCTGATACTGTAGCTGTCGAACCTACTTTTATTGCTTTTCTTTAGCACTCGCAAACATACGTCCATGGCTTCTCTTGCCATTGTTTGAAATTTCTTTGAAAAACAGTGAACTAAAAACCACCCACAATACCTTTCGGGATTGTCGCGTGCACTTTTTCCGACAACCTTTCTCGAAATAGCTGTATATAAATTCCGATTTCCCTTGCTTATAATAACGAATATGACCAAAGCATGACCCGAAGATCACCCGAAGACGACTAGATGATGAGGCGCCATCTTGAATTTTTGATGACGTCATCTTGAATAATTTAGGGGTCTAAGCAATTGAGCAATACCCTATACCCCCCTTCCCTAGAGTGTGCCAAGTGGGCCATCAATACTTCTAACATGGTTGTATCATTTTACATTTTTAGCTGATCTCCAGTCTTAATGCCATTGCTTCATCAGAACGCAAAGGTAACTATTTATGTTCCTGGGAAACTGCCCAGCTAGTCCTCCCCTAAGCCAACATTTGGCCCAAAGTGAGAAATTAGTGTTGATGTTGGCTTAGGGGAGAGGTAGGTGGGCAGTTTCCCAGAAACAGTAGAATTGATTATTGTAATGGACTTCTCTATGGATTACCGGACTGTGAAATAGCTAAGTTACAAAGAGTACAGAACGCTACAGCTAGGCTGCTTAAAGTATGACCATATTACGCCCATTTTGATAAATTTACAATGGTTAACAGAAAGATATAGAATTAATTTTAAAATTTTATTACTTACCTTCAAAGCCCTCTATGGCATGGCACCTAGCTACATCATTGATTTAATTAATACTAAGACTAATACGCGCTATTTTCTGCGCTTTAATAAAGATGTTTTATTAAAGCATCCGTCAGGAAAAATGAAACAGTCATTTGGTGACAGATCCCTCAGGGTGGCTGCGCCCACTTTATGGAACGCTCTTCCTGTTAGCCTCCGCAGCATCAAATGTATTTCTACTTTTAAATCTAATCTTAAAACTTATCTTTTTAAATTAGCTTTTAATATCTCTTAGATATTAAATATATTTGTATATTTCTTATATTTGTATTAATAGTTTTTAGGTAATTTATTGTTGTAATGCGCTTTTGATCACCTGGCATCTTAAAAAGCGCACTATAAATGAATAAATTATTATTATTATTATTATTATTATTATTATTATTATTATTATTATTATTATTATTGATCAATTTTTACATCTCTGCTGTTGGAACGTGCAATGAAATTTTGCACATTAGAACAAATTGTTTGTTGTTGGTTACATTTCCTACTTTCGCTTACGCGTTATTCTTGATGACTCGCCTTTCAACAAGACGTTTAGACTAACCCTAAGAACACCAAGATTTCATCTGTTTCTTGAAGCTTGTTGATACTTATTAGTTCATTTTGTCACCAAGCCCAATCGTTGGTTGAGTAGAAACAATAACTTATTGCGTGCTTTAGTAAGGACTCGAGCGAAAAACAAAGTGGAGTAAAAACTTGAAAGAAAAATAGAGTTGTGTGTTTTTGGATGTGGGATTTTTTTACGAGTTTTACGACTTTGAAAACTGGAGACTGACTAAGAAATGAAAAGACAGCAGGCACAAGACATATCAATAAAAACAACAAATGAAAGAAGCGAGAAAATTGACGTGGAACAATAACGTAAAGAAATGATCATTTTTCTTTTTCAGAAATCCACCTTTGTGTCATGCTACCAATGACAGGACGTTGGCCAATCGGAATGAGAATAGCTGCAGCTGTTCCCATGGCAATATTTGACATCACAAATGACTCAACTCTGCTACCAGGATATAATATTACGTACAACATCGTAGACAGCTCGTGTGAACCCGAGAAAGGTCTTCGCGGGATGGTCGCGTTTAAAACAGCTGATTTGTTTATTGGGCCCGCGTGCTCTGTAGTGGCGGAACCAACGGCACTACTAGCAAAAATATGGAACAAGCCTATTGTAACTTATGCTGCATCCTCAAATAAATTCATCAATAAATATATTTACAGCACGCTAAGTACAATCACTGCTTATGCTCGAAGAAGTGAGAAATATACTCCAAAGCTTGTGCTTCAGATCCTGAAAGAGTTCGACTGGAATATTCTGGCCATCGTAAGTTCATCTGAAGTGGAATGGAAAACAATGGCTGAAAAAATTAGAGCCACCATTGAGCCTAATGCAAAAGTTTCTATGTTTGAAAATTACGATAATAAATATCCACAGTTTGAGAGAATCTTGCAGAAGGGAAAAGAAGTGTCACGGGGTAAGTGCCCGCGAAGCTTGCGTGCAGACGTCTCCTATTTCCTTTGCGGCACGCGTAAAACAAAAGAAATAGGAGACGTCTGATCTGCACACAGGCAGGAGCCCATAACCCGGAGTGTGCAACTCCCATACTTTACCTATGCAGCGGCGTTATCACAGATCAAGTTATTTTTAGCATCATTTTTTTAGCACTTTTTCCCGCGAAAATTAAAGCACCGTGCTGTATACGTGCGCATCCATAGTACGATTATTAGGTAAATGCTATCAAAACACTAGAAATACTTTAGTCTAGTTCCCGATTTTTGATGACTCATTTGTAAGACTTATTCGGTATTCAAAATTCGCGGGAAAATCGATCTAAAAATAAAATGGTCTGGGAAGATGCCGTTGCATGGGCAGGCAATGGGCACAAGGAAGTTGCTCGCTTCGCCTGGGTTATGGGTTCTAGTGCCAACGTAATATTCATCTAACGCTGCTAAAGCTACCACTAAGAAATTGCAATTATAAAGATACATATTATTTGAAAGGGCTTGTTTGTCTCATGGTAAAGATAAAATAGACAACAGTTACCACGAAGTATATTACGATTAACATTGAAGGCAAGTCTGATCGGACAGCTAAGGTTTACAAACTTATTTGCCCAACATTTCGACTAGACAAAACTAGTCTTCATAAGGGGCTCGAAAGGCTAAGTATTGCAATCATCTGATAACTTATATTTAGGGGCAGGGATACAGCCAGTGTTCCCGCATCATGTCTAGCCTGTTACAGGCGTTCCGGCCGATTGGTGTACCCTTCAACGTAGGCGTTATTTTGGCTCGTCACGCAATACTAAGAACGTCTGCGTGAGAGGCTAAAGATAAAGAAAACAGTGCAATGAAAAGTGAGTACTAACAGAGGAAAATGTGACAGCGAGAGGACACTCCATTTCGCGCTACTTCACGATCTGAACGACCTGAACAGGCTACATCAGTGTCCCCGTGAGTGCCTATTACCGATTGGATGGATTGAACGTCTGGGTAATTCTGCCTCCTAGCTAGTCACTGACGCACCAATTCCAACTCGTCAGATTTCATGGAATATGTGGCAGGGAGAAAATGTTTTCCCCTCGAAGGTTCTTCCATAGCAGCGGTAATGTAACACGAGGGAACGTGTTCCTGCAACACGTCCCGTCTCACAACCCTTGCACATATAAATTCTCTGTGTCGTTAAAGAACCCACGCACTGTTCGTAAGGAGTAGGGGACATAGTCCGCGGTGTGGTGATCTATCTCTCGTGTGGGAAGGGACTGTTACGGGCCCGCGTAGTGGCGCCACGCACTATTGCGGTGACCCTGACAAGAGCTGGCGAACCTAAGTAAATAAATAAACAAATGCCCTTGCTTCACGCTACTGCAACATTTCCTCCTGAGTTTAGATGGGTAGATTTCAATACAATAATTTTTACGAAATAAAATAGAAACAGCTTTATTAAGAGTTATATTCCAGTTAATACGAAGACAGAATGATGAGACAAAAGGACCCGCTGTAGTAAAAATCCTAGCTTTTTATTCAAAGCATTTCTCGCTCGCGATGGCGGGCCTTATTTTTTTTGCTTTTGAATATTTACGGGACCTTCTTCATTTCTTTTCCAGTTTTTCTTATCCTCTGTTACATAAATGAAGTTCTTGACATCATGAAAACAGCTGAACGGTTGGGTATGACTAAAGGAGATTATGCTTTTATAACACTTGATTTGAATACCGACATGTTTTATAAAGACGGTCAATGGTCTGGAAACGAAGGGAAAGGCTCTAATTTCCCAACTGAGCTCAACGGCATAATAGACCTTAGCGTTTACCGTCCTGAGATTTATGAAGAGTTTAAAATGAGGTACAACACGATGAAAAACACTCTCGATCCTTTCATCATATCAAAATTATATCCCAAGGTAAGAACCAGATAGTTTTAGCTTTGTAATTTTACTTTGCATGTTAGTTGCGCCTGCTATCAGATTGTATATGTACTAGCTGACTGGTTGACCTATTAACTAATTGACTGATTTACTAACTGACTAACTAAATGAATGAATGAATGAACGAACTAACGAACGAACGAACGAACGAACGAACGAAAGAACGAAAGAACGAAGGAAGGAAGGAAGGAAGGAAGGAAGGAAGGAAGGAAGGAAGGAAGGAAGGAAGGAATGAATGAATGAATGAATGAATGAATGAATGAATGAATGAATGAATGAATGAATGAATGAATGAATGAATGAATGAATGAATGAATGAATGAATGAATGAATGAATGAATGAATGAATGAATGAGTGAGTGAGTGAGTGAGTGAGTGAGTGAGTGAGTGAGTGAGTGAGTGAGTGAGTGAGTGAGTGAGTGAGTGAGTGAGTGAGTGAGGAGTGAGTGAGTGAGTGAGTGAGTGAGTGAGTGAGTGAGTGAGTGAGTGAGTGAATGAATGAATGACTAACTGACTGACTGACTGACTGACTGACATACTGACTGGCTAGCTGGCTGATTGACTTTTGACTGACTGTCTGATTGATCAATTGACTCGAAAGCAACTGATTGGCTGGCTGACGTTTTGACTGGCCGACTAACTTTTGACTGATTGACAACTGACTAACAGACTGATCATTAACTGACTCATGCCTGACTAAGTGGCTGACTGACCGTTGGACTGACTGACTGCCCGGGTCAGGGGTGACTGACTGGCTGACTAATTGGCTGATTGATTGACTGACGAGCTGATTTACTTACTGACTGACTTATTGAGTGACTCTCTGGCGAACTGATAGACTGTGTGATAAACTGATAACTATTGACTCGATTATCTCATAGAAAGCATTCATTTAATAATTTCTTGTATTTAAGATCACTTTTGTCGACAGGTTTCTTGGTATTCCTCGTTTCTGTATGATGCCGTCTACCTGTATTCTCTGGCCGTAAATGACACTTTAACCCACGGATATGACGTCACTAATACAACTGAGATTATTGCACGCATGTTTAATAGACATTTCTACGGTAAGTAAGCTGCAGCTAAAAGAAACTCCTTCTAATGTATAGATTTTTGAATGTGTCCTAGATGTATAGCATTGAAAATAGACTCGCTTGAAACATGGAGTTTTTGTTCATGGTTGTATGTATATCTGACTTAACTTCAATGTAACTCCAATCTAAACTACGGTAACACCTACGAATGGCACAATGATAATGGGGCTCACATTTGGCGTTTATACTACCTTTTTGACGCCGGAGTTCGATTCCCAGCTGAGTCATCAGTCAGTCTTAAAATAACTGAGGAGAACAATTTCCCTGTCACTTTTAAACCTGTTTGACGCTTTTGCAGTAAGTCGTTTAAATTGAATGACTTAAATGTCGTTCAAAAACTTTTTACCTTTAACAACCTCGCTCCCGCCACTTCGATGAAAACTCGTGCTAGTGCGACTTGGTAGAACGAGTCGAGCACAAATGATTGGAATTCAGGTCAATTAAGCACTCATGCGCGGAGTCAAAAGCGTAAGCACTGGGGTCGAGAATGCTCCTTGTCGAAGTCGCACTCGCTGTCAATACTAACATTCTCTAGTCCATTGTGTACTGTTATGAGTTATCGACGACGTAAAATTAAGACCTTCGAATTTAAATTTACATAATTCTTCCTTCATTTCATTTCTTTATATTTGTATCAGGAAAGTCAGGTCATGTCTTTCTGGAAAATGGCACCCGAGTTCCTCAGTTTGTCGTTGGTAACCTTCAAGATGGCTCCTACCAGTTCATCGGAAACAAAACCAAAATATTGCGTAACAGTACGGGACCGATTTACCACCAGCTTCACCTATTTGCCAAGTCAAAAATCACGTGGCCTGGCGGGTCAAGTAATGCACCCCTCAGTGAGCCTTTGTGTGGTTTTACAGGAGAGAAATGTAGTGAGGATAGCACAGGTGACTATAGAGTATTTTAAGGTTATTGCACTCTATAATTGTTTTTTGTTATTCAGAGAAATTATTATACAAGGCCCCTTTCTAGTCATTTTTCATCTTGTTTCGACTGTTCCAATCTCGTTTCTTAAGTCCCTTTTCTCCTTGTTTAGTGGTGGGGGAACAAGAAGAAAGAAGACTCAGCTGAGAACCAGAATCAGAGGTGTTATAGGAAGAATCAAGAGTCCCATTATGACTCTTGGAAGAATTTAAGAAGGCATACGTACTCCCAGAGTCTCTTAAGCTTAACCGCTCTTTAAAGGGAAATAAAAGAAGACTCGCAATAGGCCATGCATATGCGCAGTAAATAACCGAATGATGACAACAAGAGCTCATCACTCCCACAAGCATCCCCGTTTCTATGGCATGGAAGTCACACCCTGGATTTTATCTTAAGACAAACTAAAAATAAATTATAAGTCTCAAGTTTTGTTTCTGGTATTTTCAGATACTCTCGTTCTCATTCTTGGCATAGTTGGAGCTTGTCTTCTAGTTCTCATCATTTTTGTTCTCCTGATCTGCGTAAGAAGACGCGCCAAAGGGAAAGAGAGTATTCATACAAAATGGATGATAAACTACAACGAGATTGCACCGGCAGATGACACTGAAGACCATCCCATGGTTCTTAACAACCTGCATCACGTGAGCTCATCAGAGGGCCTGGTAGAGCCAGCATACTTGTGGTTTTTTTTTATTCATTTATTTATTTATTTTTATTTCGCTTTTGTTTGTTTGTTTGTTTGGGTCTTTTCTGTCTGGATTTTTGTAATGCTTATCTTTCTGGTATACAGCTATTTGAATTAATGTTGTCGTAAGCCTGCACGACAAAAGCCGGTTTTTAAATAGAATGTTTCGATTAACAAAACAGTCGGAAAATAAAGTGGTCCTTCGCCACTGTACGTCAAAGAAACTGTTTAATAAAAAGATTCGTTTCTTTGGTGAATCCAAAAAGGGTATTGCGCTTCTTTCTAAAATCAAAAATAAATTTTAAACCTAAAGAATGTACACTCCGAGTGGATTTATCAGATTAACCCAAATCAGGAATTTTAAATTCTTTGAGAACAGAGATCCGAAGAAAAAACACCGACAAACAGTTTTCCTCCAAAACGCGATGAGGCTACCACGTTCTCTTTCTTTCGCTAACATTGCGAAAGGCAAGCTATCAAAGAATCCATTCAATGGAACAGCCAATCTATTTATTTCCATGTCCACTCTGAGTGAATTTCCCGTGCTCAGCTATAGTTTCACTGGTGGCGTCGCGAAATGACGGCTGTTTTCTCAGGCTTGATACGCGGGTTCCCCCGGTCATTGACCCGACGGCTATGCCATGCTTATGAGCCCTAATAAGGGCGAAAAAGCAGTCCATGGCTGCCACTGCCTGGGTGATCTGGCTGTGTGCATGCGTGAGGTATTGGCCAGGCCATGGGATGGTGAATGTGTGCCCCTTGCTTTACGTTTGTAAAATAGAAGCTACGGTTAGTTTTATTTCAACGTATTATCAATATCTTTTTTAGCGTAGTACCCAAGGCTCCGAGTTCAATGTTCTGCCATCTGCGTCTTCTGCAAGGCTTATGAGTGATGGTGGATTTCTTCAGAGAAGACTTTCTAAGGGAATTTATCGAGTAAGTGCAATGGCAAAATCCTTACTATGCCTGCTAACCTTTATCATGGAGGCAAGCAGATAAGACAATATGGTGCACCTCCAGCTTCACTGGCTAAGGTTTATACAACCATTGTTCGTCCTGTTCTAGAATATGCTGCCCTTGTCTGGCAAAATATACCAGATTTTCTATCTTATAAGATTGAGAGCATTCAGAAAAGAGCTATGGGCATCATTTTTCCTTTAATGAATCACAACGAGGCATTAAATGCCCTTAATTTAACAACTCTAAGTGACAGACGCGCCCATCTATGCCAGGTTTTTATTGATAGACTCCGGGATGAGAATCACCCCTTGCATTTTATGCTCCCCAAACAGGAGGAGGTTGTGCATAATTATAATCTTAGATCTGGCATTAGCCGCTCCACGCGTCCTACCTGTAGGACCAAGCGCACGCAAGAGTTTGTCACGCACAAGTATACCTAGTGGCTTGTACAATTATATTTTGTAGTATTTATTGGATTTGTTATCTTATATTTTAGTATTATATGTTTTGTAAATAGCTCTGTAATTCAGCCATTCTGTATATTGCTGCAATGAGTCTTAATAAACAGTCATTATTTAATTGGGGCTGTTCTATTTGGACATCACGCACAGTGACTGAAACTTAGGGCCCGTTTACATGTAGGTGGGGACCCAAGGTAGGTGAGGTAACCAGCTTAGGTGGGGTAGCCAGCCTGTCCATATAATCTCTCATTTTAATTTGATCACGTTTACATGACCGGTGGGGTGATCCGCCAAGGCGGGTAGCCGGTCTGGCAGACCGGGTAACCCTCTCAGCCGGGGTCAAATTTTGCCATGTAAAAGTTTCAAGGTGGGGTAACCCACATAGTCGGGGTCGGATTCGTGATACATCAAATTCAAGCAAAATTCACTTTGGCAGTGGCTTTGCATCATTATTATTGCCAGAGCAGCAAGTGAGTGTAGAAGAGCATTCAATACCAAAACATGTGGTTTGCCAGCATTTTTCTTGTTTACGAGCTTAGCGACCATTCAATAATCTTGAGAAAGTGCACCCCAGGATGGCGGAGTTGTAAGATTGTATGTAAAGGAGAGCTATTTTTTTTTTACCCCACCTAAGCGGATACCTCACCTACCTGGTGTTTCCCACCTCCATGTAAACAGGCCCTTAGAAATGCCGGTTTTAAAATCACATAAACTAAAAACAAAAGCTCTTACGGCAGAAATGAGCTCCGAAGCCAAAGTTTGTAATAGGATTGTATGTAGTAGGACAACATTACTGTAAAGTGTGATTACGTTTCTATTTCTCCCATTTATCAGGGAAAATCTGTTTTAGCGAAGAACGTTTCTGAAGGAATATCGCACCTGACAGAAAATATGAAGATTGAAATACGCCAGGTGATGCTACTAAGTATTTTCCTAAATACTGATGAGAAGCAGGAACTAGTAAGTGCCACCTTCCCCTCCCCCTTGTGGAAGCAGATTGTATCTTTGTACCGATTCTCTGTTTTTTATCTGTCTATCAGCCGAGCTCTCTCTTGTCTCATTCGTGTCACAGCTCATGTGATCTCTCGCGTGTAGAGGGTTCTTGCTTCCCTCCTCGTGTTGACTCTTGTTGCACAAGGCCATTTTCAAAATCCGCTCGCGTATTTCCGTAGTTGCTCTAGCTGTATATAACGTCCTCGCAATCCATGAAACAAGCATATATTTTGTAGGAAGTTACCGAGGAATAATGAGGCGAATTTCAGGAATTTTTCTTAAAGAATTTTTCTTCAAATGATCCTAAGCTTTTTTGTTCGAGTTGTTGCATAAGATAGACTGATTTTATTTTTGTTCTTTCTGCTACAGGCATGTGAAATTCGGCACGTGAACCTTAACCCATATGTAGGAATATGTGCTGAGTTTCCCGATGTATTTATCGTTTCTGAGTACTGTGCTAAAGGAAGCCTTCAGGTGATGACTTTTTTCTTAGGTACCTCATCATAATCAAATGAGCCGTGCCTTTGTTTTCTCCTGTAATACACTTTTGGTGTTAAAAAAAAAACCGAACAAAAACTCTCTCTTGTGCTTGATCCATGGGGTGAAATTAAACTGATTCTAGTCATAATTTTTGATCCACTGTAAACTAAAGTTATCCAGTCTTTGTAGTTTTTAGGAATTTTTTCTTCACTCTTCTACACATTTTTAATTGCAGGATATTTTATTAAATGAAACTATTAAGCTGGACTGGACTTTCAGGATGTCATTTGCTTCAGACATCGCTCGAGTAAGTCTGCCCATGCCCAGTTGACGATATCTTGGCTAGGTGTGACTGTGGCATAAAGAACGGGAGAGCTTTTCTTTGAACCGTTACCATCCCATACAGCCATTGTTGATCAAGATAAGAAAGTACGGAAAATGCAACTGTAAAAAAAAATGAGATTATATACAAGATAGTGGGGCTATAAAATTCGACACTTAAACTGTAAAGTACATCTATGCGTATATGTATAACTTAATTAGAATCAGATTGATTGATTGATTTTTAGATTTAAAAAGCTGGAGCTGGAAAGTGCCAAACCTCCCAAATTTCATTCTATAAACGGTTTCGAGCAAATACCACCAGATAAAGTTCTATCACAAGCATTGGGTGATTAATCATTAGAATATAATTAATAGATTCAAATTGCAAATCTCATGTAAACTGCATAACGGATGATGAAACGATTTTTTTTTTCTTAGGAAAATGGTAGCATTAGCCTTTCCCTTTCTGAAGCATCTTTTTGCACATGCATTTTTTGGTTCGTCGTTCGTCCTTTTCCTTAATTTTTGTTATTATTTCATTTATCTTTATTGTCCTTGTAAGGCAAACTATAAATATCTTGCTATCAAGTTATATTTAGCGCAACATCACGCCTTTATCAAGGTCTGATTTATTTTTTAAACTCTTACTTTCTAAATGTTCTTTTTTTTCCGTCTTCTTTCACTTCTTTTTTTTGTCGTTGTTTCTAATTGTTTGATTGTGATTTTCCTTTTTGAAGGGGATGGAAGAATTACATAAAATCTCAATAGGTTGCCATGGTAACTTGAAGTCCACCAATGTGCTGGTTGACAGTTATTGGATCTGTAAGGTGGCCGATCACGGACTCCACAGTTTTAGAGAAAATAAGCCAATAACAGAGGAGAGATTACAATGTCAATCTGGTACATTGATTTGTTTTTTAACTAGTCTGAAATGACAGCCGTCTCCACCCCTTAACCCGTGGGGTCGCGAGAGAGGGAGACGTCCGAATTTCCGAGAGTTAGACTGTCGCCCGGTGACGTCACACTAATTTATACATTCGGCATTGATTTCGATGTTTCTTCCCCGCGCCCCCTCTCCCCTCCTCCCACAAGTTAGGGGGTGGACACGGCTAACATTTCCAACTATTTAAGGTATAAGCACATTTTCTTCGTGACCAAGTTTAACGTCAGTAATACTTAAAATTTACCTTGATCATCGGTCACTTCTCTAAATCACCCTTCCCCTGCTTCTCCTAATCGTTAATTCTACTTTAACAGCTTTGTTTTGGACTGCGCCTGAGCATTTACGAAGTACCGCTGACATTGGAAAGTCGCAGCCGGGAGACGTTTACAGTTATGGGATCATGCTACAAGAGATCGCACTAAGAGAAAAGCCTTTCTCTACCTCACTCCTTTGTACAAAAGGTAAAAGGCTCTATATATGGATTATTAAGAATAATTTAGCAAGTTAAAGTTCCCCATGCAACACAAAAATAACGTTTTTATAGCGTTAAGACGATCTGGCTTGGAGATTAGATAAGAGATGAGGAGTGATTAATTCTACCCGAGACGCCCGACTTTATCGATGGTCGAGTATTCTTCAGGATATTTACATTTATATCGTATTCGACGATTTGTTTCTCAATTGATTGAGTACGCATGTATAAATAAACGAAAATCAAGGGCCTCGATTCGGGAGAAATTACATCATTGCCAAAATGCAAAAACGTGATGAACATGGCGCGTCATTTCAGTCATCGTCAAAAATAGACCGAATGCTTATCACAAGACTCAATTTGCATGCAATGAAAATTTACAACAGCGGACCAGTTAGCCTCACCTTCGGAGTTTTTCTCATTAACTGAATTGTCCTTTTTTCGACCACCGAAATATTCATTTGTTCCAAAGTAATCAGCGCTTTCGAGCGATAGAATTCGTGGACGGACCCGTTCCGGAAAAGCTCGACATCTTTCGCATTAATATTTCCTCAGCTTTCTTCGCAAAACATGCATGGCGACCTAATATGTTGGCGGTTACGCCGTGATTCTTATCGCCTGTTTCCACGGTCTCCGCTAGGAAGGCCTGGGACTATGATTACCCGTTTGGCGCATACACACGAAAAAAAAAACAAAGAACAGAAACACTTGCATGTTTTAGAGTCTCGCTGCTAAAGCAAGCACGACTAATCAGCCGTTCCATCACAACCTTTTGCTTGGGTCTTGACAAACTGCGAGCCTGGGAGCCATGCGAGTCACGCGAGGCATCGGTAAAAAAAAGGGAAACACAAGTAAAAACTGCAAATTTACAGATGAGGAGTTGAGCACTCATTATACTGATTAGGGTTAAGCACTCATTGTACTGATTTCATTTTGGGTTAAGCGCTGTTTTTAGGGTTAAACACTTATTTACAACGGTTAGCGTTCAGTTAATGTTTTCCGTATTACTGTTGTCGATTTTTATTGTTTTTCTTTTTCAATGATTCTTCTTTGGACTGCATGGCTCGCATGACTCGCTGGCTCGCATTTTATACACACTCGATCTAGGTCATAATACATCAAACGTATTCTGTAGAGGTACTTTGCTAATATGGTTTGAGACTATATGGAGCCCTTCGAAAACAAAGAGAGCAGAATTTAGAAATGTCAGAAAAGTTAGGATATAAACAAAATTTTGTCTCAGTTTGTGTGTTTTACCCTTTCCTTTTTAATACTTTATTATTTTATTTTGTCAGAAATTCTTTATTATGTGCGAAAAGGCATCCAACCGCACTGTAGGCCCCAGGTTCCCCCGGACAGCGCTCCGCGACCATATATCGATCTCATGAAGATTTGCTGGGATGAAAGCCCTGAGAGAAGACCTACATTCAGCGGGATTCTTAAGATTCTGAAAAAGATCAACAACGGAAAGTAAGGAAAGCGCCAATAAATCCCTTTAAGGGTTTAAGGGCCGTTAATGCCAGGGGGGAATTCTATACGAAAGGGGCGGGGAGGCGCGTTGGAAATTTTGAATTATACCCTAAAGGAGACAATCTGGGCGTGGCCCAAGCTTTGTTGACCCCTAAAAAACTTTGATTACATGAATCGAGTAAATAAAATGAATTGAAAATATATAATTTATATTGCTTCCGCGTACAACCCTAAAAGAGACCTTTGCGGCTAAATATAATGGCGTTTTGCCCAGAACACCCTAAGTCATTAAACCAAATCAGAAATTTGCAACCCTAAGCGAGACGACGAGCATCCCCGCCCCTTTCATATGGGAGTCCCCCCGGCCGTTAATGTATTGTCGCAGATGAGAGTATAACAGTGTCACCACTGTCCTATTTACGTGAAATATGAAGAGATCGCCATTTATCTTTTATTTTTTTTATACTTTAATCAGAGAGCTTAGAACTAGCATTACTGCGCTTTTCACAAACATGCGAATGCTGAATTTCAAAACCAACTGATGATTGCGTTTTTCGCTCACGTCAATCATCTTAACGGACCTCTTAGGAAACAAAACTTTAAGTTAACGGGTTCAAAAGGTCATGGTTTTTGATTTGTGATTGGTGGATTTCGATCCATTTTGTGTGTTTCTGTGTTTCAAGGTTCGTTGCCTGTGATCGTAATTATGATTGACGGCAGCGAAAACGCAATTGTGAAGGCGGCTTTTGACCTTTAGAGTTCGCTTGTTTATGAAAAGCGCAGTAACGTCTCTTTTCTGATCATCGAAAAAAAACATTTTAGACATCACTGACATCGTGTAATGAAGTGCAAAGGGTCAAGGGGTCCCTCCCTTAAATAAGAATTCTTTATCTTAATTTTTAAGCAGTATACAGCTCTTTGTAATTTCGTTTCTGAACAACACTTCGAACTTGAACTCAGTTTACATTTCTTTCAGTAAAAGAAACATCCTCATTTTATCAATTTCAGGACAATCTCAGTAATAGACAACATGCTGTCGATGATGGAAAAATACACCAACAATCTGGAGTCCCTCGTAAATGAACGAACAAAGCAACTGCAATGCGAGAAAACCAAGACAGACGAACTTCTTCACAAGATGTTACCAAGGTAAACCGACCATTGTAAGCCAGGTGCAACCCCGAGGGGTCCCCCTCTTGGGTACTCATGCCTCTCCTTCCTCTCTTTGTCCAATTAAACTTGCCCCTTTTGCAGATTGACCTAAACTCAGAGGTAAACCACCAATGCAATCAAAATTCAGGATTCGCCTTTATAATACAAGAGTCTACTAATTTCAGTGATATTATCAAGCGGATATGAAGAAAGGTCGTCAACCTTGTTCCCAGGGGTTATTCCCTTAAAAAAACCATGGGAACGAGGTTGTAAGTTCATTTGGAACATTTGGCAATTTTAAGATTTAGCGTAAGACCGGTTGTAAGACATAAACACCACACTGATAGGGCCTCAACAAAGTGGGGCTTTAGCCTTTGATTAACAGCTGTTTTGTCATTTTTGTGGCTTGTTATGATCAGAACGGCATAACAACAAGTTCTGCTAAAAAACACAGTCACGGTACAGTATGTTTAAAGTCCTACCACTGAACGCACACCTTCTGAATCACGCCGTATCACGTTCTTCCGATGAAGTGTGTTTACACCTGCTGTTTCAATCTGACTCAGGAGCATCGCCGAACAACTCAAAGTGGGACTTGAAGTGAAGGCAGAACAATATGATAACGTTACAATATTTTACAGTGACATCGACGAATTCTCCAACATAACGTCGGCCAGCTCTCCAATTCAGGTTAGAAAAACTTCCCTTTGAGATGAGACAAACTTAGCAACTGACGATGATTTTCTAAGTGAATTCAGGTATGATAATCCTCGACCGTCCATAATCCATACAGCTCGGGAACATCTTTTATAATGATTGACATACGGTAAGACTGACTGAGTTCTCCACTGATTCGGCCTGGATAACTATCTGACAGACTCAATACCTAGCTTTATGACACATTTAAAAAGACTGACTGACCAGCTGACCGAATGGCTTGATGACTGGCTGGCTGACAGGCTGAGAAACTGTCTTACCAACTGCTTGACTGACTTATTGGCTGACTGATTGATGGACGGAATGACTTGACTGACAGACTAACTGACTGACTTACTGTTTGACTGTTGTTGTGACATCTACAAATGGTTAGATATTCTAGTCCTCTCGGATAAGGACGAAAATCCGTAGGCCCGTCTCACAGCTCCTTTACTGTTCTGATTCTAGTGGGACGTAAAAGAACTCACACCCGCTGTTCGTAAATTGTAGGGGGCGTATACCCCGGTTGTGTGGTACAATCTTCCATGGGCTGGGTGGGTAATGAAGAGATTGATAGCGATTGAGACGTTAGTGCTGTTTCATCCCATGTCACCGTGGAGAATTTAATAAAGTAACTATCAGAGTAAAGTTGATGAGGGTTGATGAAGGTTGATAAAGCCGGCACTATAAAACCTGCGCCTCCAACCCTTATTAAGGACCAATTGACTGATTGACTCGCTGACCTAAAAACTGATGGACTAGATGATTCAAAGAAAAGAGAGATTTAGAGCCACGTTAACGGCGTGAAAATACTAATTTTTTGTACACGTAATGAACAACAAACAACAAGTAAAGGGAAAACTAGGTCAAGTGGTGTGCATGTAAACTTGGCTCTAATTCTCTCTGTAAATGATTGTTATATTCCGGTATAAGAGTTTGCTTTTTACCTCTGGTGGTCCCCCAATTCCCTTTATTTTGGTTAATTCTTATTCGTACAAATGGTTCACCGGCTCGCTGATTAGATATTTGCTATGTGTTAACTAAGTGATTTCATTGGTTTATCAATAGGTTGTATTGTTTTAAAAATTTACAGGTTATAACGCTGCTTAACGATCTTCACTCATTATATGACACTGTGATGACGAGATATGATGTTTACAAGGTAAAATCAACGTCTTGATTCATTTTGTTGGAAAAGTTTACATTTCCTTGTTCAAAACAAAAACAACATCATAGCTTATTTTTATACGCACGTCTATTTAGGTGAAAATCAAATAAAAAATAAATTAGGAATTGGAACCAGCTCTCATATTTGGCCTTTAATTAGCCTAAAATGTGCTGCCGAGTAGATTGTTCCCGGACAGTGGAGCTGCTTAACTTCACTAGTTTAACATATACCTTATGACGTGGTTCCATTCTGCTTTCAACCTACATACTGTGCGTATGTTGTGCGCAACACGGAACCGCCAAATAGAACCCCGGGAAGGAATGGAAATATGAAGGGGGCTAGGGAGAGTGGGAAGATCTCTCTTTTCCCTTTCGCGCCCCCCCCCCCCCGACCTCTTTCCCTCCTCTTTTTTTCTCCTGCCACCCGGGCTAGCCCGAGAAAATCCTTACGCAAAATTAGTTTCTACGTCTTTTGAATTTTTTTCCGAGGGAGGAGGCGGTTGTACACAGGCTAGTTTTGACTATATTTTAAAAAATGTGTTGCAAGCATAATTACGCTTAAACTTTTCACGCCTTTCAGCGTTGTCTTTTTTCAAGAGAAGCCAAGTAGAATTAACTTAAGAAAAAGAGGAGGTTTAGTATTCTAACCACTGACGCAGCCAGAAAAATCTCTGAGGTTATCCCCAATTTTTTCAGTGGCTCTTGCTATAACTGAGAGAAACTGTAGCAGTCTGATGCATATTCGGCATAAATATCTCAATAAAGTACTTTTTACAGTAACTTAATTTTGACCTAATTTCCATGCCGTTTCCTGCTGATTATCTTTTCCAATCATAATTTCCAGTTTCCTACCTTCGAGAGAGTCAGAGGGAGTTCTTAACCGAATTTTTTTTTTTTTTGAGTTCTTAACCGTATTTATTTTTTTCTGTGAATTTTATAGGTTGAAACAAGCAGCGATTCGTGTTTGGTTGTGTCTGGTCTTCCAGAGAGGAATGGAAATAAACACGCTGGACACATAGCCAGGATGTCTTTGCGTTTGGTAACATATCTTAAGGAATTTAAAATTAGCCATCTACCAGGAAGAACTCTACAGTTTAGAATTGGTATCCATTCAGGTGAGAATGTATCATCATATACAATAGAGCTTGTACCACACTTGTCTCCGAGATCAAAAGTAGAGACCGAAGTTCTAAGACGAGTACGAGATAATAAGGAGCTTAAGCAACAACGACAGCCACGGTTACGAAAACGTCACTTAAATAGTGAATTCGCGCTGCCTCAAACATTATCGCGCTTATTTTGGAGTTGAGTTCTGAAGGACTGTCAAGTTGAGGAAAAGAAAAACAAAGCTGTTGTGTTGTGTTCCCGTCCTCGGCAAAACGTGAAATTAGGCACTTTCACGTCGTAGTCGTGCATTGCAGTGACGGCAAGGAAATGTACAAAAAAGCGTGATGCAGGTGCAAAGTTGTTGTTTTGCTAATCTAATCTTTTGCCTTTTTGCCGTTTTCGTTGCCGTCGCCGTCGTTGTTATGTAGTGCGCGCGCGTGAACCAGCGTCATTTTGGCGGGAAAAAGTGACAGCCGTTCAGCCTAGTCACTAGGCATTCTTTCTTGACCCGTTGTCCGCGCGAAGAACGCTTAGGGACTAGGCTGATAGCCGTTGTCATTCTACTACGGTTTTCAGAGAGAATTTAAGTTGTCAAATAAATTATCAAATGTTAGAAGTTTTATCATTTTGCCATCGGGAGAGGGCTTAGACCTCCTTTAATAAAGATAAATTTTTTGGTGAAAAAAAAAAGTACAAAGAAGATTTTCGAAAAACTTAAAACAATGATCAAATCTCGTACTTGTAGTCTTTCTCGTCCTCGAATCTAAAGGTCTCTGCTAATGTGCAGAGATCGTGAAAACTATCGAAAATCGCACCGGACGGGGACTGGAAACCCACTTTTTACCCCCTTGACCTTCTTTTCGCGACGTTCATGCTATAGCCTGGCGAAGGCTAAATAAGCTATTTCATTCTCATTCAAGGGACAGGCGATTTCTCACTAATTCTCGTTGTGTTTTCTTGCTACGGTACCCTGATGAGCGGTAGCTCCAAAAAAGAGCGAAACATCGCTGCTTTTATCTGCTGTCTTGCTTTTATATAGCCTAAATTATGACTCAGTTTTTACGTATGAAAAAGACCCTAATTTAGTGACTATTGAATATGGCCAGGAGCTTATATTTCTGATCGGGCTTAATTTTAAAAAAAACCCGCTTAACTCTTTTATAGAACTGAAAAAGTTATTCAAAACACTTAACGTTATCAGCTGGAACTATGGTGAATTGGAATAAAAGTTATTACGGAGCTTAATGATGCAAGTCAACCGGAAATAGAGAGTTCTCCCTTTTAATATGCCTTGACGCCACCAAATTTGTATTGCTGTCTTCCTTTACTCTTGTAGAGACGATTTGCTTGAAAATGTGGGTAAAACCACTGCCATAGAACGCAAAAGTACACTTCCGTTGTAGTCCCTATTTAGCAATCCACGAAGGCGCGGATGACGAAGCTTATTTTATTCCCAGGTCCCTGTGTGGCGGGTGTGGTAGGTTTGAAAAAGCCTCGTTATGAGATATTTGGAGAAATAGTGAACATTGCCAAACAGTTNGTAAAACCACTGCCATAGAACGCAAAAGTACACTTCCGTTGTAGTCCCTATTTAGCAATCCACGAAGGCGCGGATGACGAAGCTTATTTTATTCCCAGGTCCCTGTGTGGCGGGTGTGGTAGGTTTGAAAAAGCCTCGTTATGAGATATTTGGAGAAATAGTGAACATTGCCAAACAGTTAGAGGAATCCTGTGCTGGTAGGTTATAATCTCATACCCAAATCTCGCTCTGTTTCACGGTAAAAAGGAGAACTTAGGCCCGTCCACACGAATCCGTTTTCATTTGAAAACGCAACTTTTGCTTTACGGATGCGGCTTACGTCCACATGTATCCGATGAAAACGATCAATTAAAACGGAGCTTTTCGAAAACGCTCTCCAGAGTTGAACTTTTGAGAACGCTTTTTTCGCGTGTACGCGTGGACAGACGAAAACGGAACTTCTCGAAAACGTTGAAGACACACTATCAGTTCCAATCCACTCCGTGAAATAATAGTAACTTATTCAAGATGGCGGACGGGCGCTTCCCTATCATGTCTTTTATGCTTGAGCTTATTTTTAACCTAGTTGCTGGTTTTCAAGCAAATTTAGCTTTGTTAATTCTTCAAGCTGATTATTCCAGGAGGCGGCAGAGCACTATCAGGTTACTTTCGCTACCGGTGGAAGGCGGAAGACGGAAGGCGGATAGCCTGCGACCCTCGCGGCTTCGCCGCTCGCTCGCGCGTTCTCGCGAGACTCGTTTCACTCGCCCAAACAGGAGAGCATGTTCGCAGGCTAGAAGGCGGAAGGCGGAAGGTTGGATTTCCCTTTAGTTTGACATTTTAAACTGTTTCTGCGACTTTGAACAACGTCACAACAATATACACCCACTCCAAAGAAATTCAAAGGTGGCGCCAATTTATTATTTTGCGGGCTCATAATAGCGACGACGTATGCGTCAAGCATGCGCAGTTGGGTAAGTTATCGTTTTCAAATCGATTCCTCGTTTAGGTAAGAATGGGCGAAAACGATGCGAAAACGCTACGAGTGGACGCGAATTTTTTGAAAATAGAGAAAAAAAGTATACGGATATGTGTGGACAGGGCTTTGTGAGATCTCCTTTTTCCTTTGTCGAAGGAGCTCTAGGAACGAGATTAGGTATATTAACTATTCTCACTGCATACACAATTAGCCCGTGACAAGGGAAATAAGAAATTCCTTTAACTTGTCAGCAAAAATAGTAAGCAGCATCACTAACAGGTATATGAAACTAGAATGTGGCCTGAACAGAGTTCTAAGTAGAAATTATTCGCTAAGTTCCCTTCCTCTTATCATGAAAAGAACAATACCGACTCAGCTATATTTCCTAATTCGTACCACCACAGCTTATATTCTAGTGTTTTAATAGATGTCTTTAAGAATTGAGTGAAGGTTGTATCGTTTCTTTAGCTCAGCGAATTCATGTTAGTTCTTCTTGTAAGTTGATTCTGGATGACTTGGGCAGCTTTCATTTGGAGGAGAGAGGCCTGGTAAAGATTAAGGTGAGACGACAGTTGCCTGTTACATATTTTCTTACGTGCCCAGTATAAAGCAAAAGAAATTGGCCTCATACGGTTGGTCGTAACGTGGTACAAAACAGCCATCTGGAAAGCACGAGACCCACCCACCTGGACGCGACCGAAAAGAGTTTTCCCACTTAAGATAGTACTTTCTTTTGCTTGTCTTGTCCCAGTATATTTCTTGCTCTCCAGCTTGGCAATTTTCAGTACCACGTGACTACCCAGCAATTATATGTACTTCATATGTACTCCAGTATAATCCACATGCAGTGTTAACAAACATTAGGCCTAGATTACTGACGCCAAAGCAATAATTCTCTAAACAAAATCAGCAGCACGTGCTCGGAGATACAGCTCATTAATTATGTGTATCAGGAAACGAAAGTGTTATTGCCCCGAAATAACAAAACGATAAAATCTTGTTATTTGCTTAGCAGAGCATTACCGCCTATCATTATTTTCTTAAAGACAACATGCACGCACATTACACGCGGAGCTGTGTTAGTGTGTCCAAACAGCAGGAAATGTTTGCAGTCACTCGAAATGGAGCGGCGGGCTCGATTTTCATATTTCCTTTTCGAGCCATTGCAGGCTAGGAACAACGAAAGATCATCTCGGTCAATTGATCTTAAGGAACCAGTTCCCGAGGAAAACATTTCAGTTCCTTGCTCATTATTGAGAAGTAAAATATTTTCTAGTTTGGTCTTTCTTTTAGTGAAACCTCTCGTTTTCAAAGGACATCTCCATTCAGGGGACACAAAATTTGTTCCCGGAAAAATGTTCACATAATCTTTGTATTTGTTACCTCTACTTAGGGGACAATTCTATTCAGGGGACATCTTAGCACTCAAAAAGTGACTGACTACAAAAAATCTTTGATAAGTTTAAGTGTTCACTAGTCACAACGGCCACAGCTTTCAAAACATAACTATCTCACTTAAAATCGATGTACTAAACTTGTGGAATTCAACACATAACATCGCAGAGTAAGTTAATCATGAGTTTTATACATTATCTAACTGTTTGATTAAATAATGACCGCAGCAAATTCCGAGGTAAAATATAAGAGAAATAATTTATTTGTTACTTAATGATTAACAAACCCCAGCCCAACCTCCACTCAGGGGACACTTTCCTTGGTCCCAAGGGTGTCCCCTGAATAAAGGTTCCACTGTAATTCTATACGCAGTTGAGAATGCACTAAAAACTGAAGTGAAGTCAATTTTGTATTGTGGGCTTAGCAACCTTAACCGTGCTGTAAACAATGATGTTTTACAAGTCATTTTCATAAGAATTAAGTTTTGGAGACAGCCTCTCGGAAACCTCCTTTGTTAAACCAAAATAAGGAGACCACCACCCAGATTTGCTTTGTCTAGTTCAGTTGTAGACAGGAGATAAGTTTCATCTGACATATAGCCATAAGGGACACTCATGATCAGCCCTGTTAGATATTTCAGTTTTACTACTTTATAATCAGTTGTTAAGCCATTCCAAGGTTACAGCTCTGAGTTTCCTTTTTGATGAGAATCGGCCCAGACTATTAGCGAACACACCTGGTCACACCAGAGGAAAGTTCTGCGCGACAATATAGCTGTAGCCGCGGTGTCAGCCCACCAGACTTAAAAAACCTCTTGCTGAGCTTAGTGACTGCTGCGGTTAAGGCAACTATTACAACAACAATAAACAAATATTACAATTTACTCAACAATTGAAACAGTTGAAAGAGAAAGAAAAAAATACCCAAAGAATGAAAGAGTAATAACGGTAAAATACATGCAGGGTTAGCCACAGAGTTGCTACAAGTCGACCTCTCATAAGCTCTCAGCAAGCGAGCGAAGCGATCTTTAACGATGTTGCTCAGCGAATACGCGAGCGACGAAGTCGGAGGTCGACTTGTTTCGCCTGAATGGAAAAAAAATTTGAAGGAGTTTTAGAAAGTCTACGTTAGCCACTGCCAGGTCATTGGCGCAGACATATAATAAGAAACAAACCGGAAATTAACGGAACAAAATGAACTCATAGAAAATATTTTTGGCCAGTTGAAAGCATTCCCAGCTAGCAGGACCACTTTTGCCCACCGAATACCAGGGAAAAGAGCTGGCCTCTGCTGCTAGCAGGGAATCAAGAGCAGGGGCCCGTTTCTCGAAAGTCCCGGTAACTTTACGGGCCCGAAATCAAATATTCAAATCGAAATATAAAGAATAAGAGCGCGGGTCCTGGCTAGAAAACAACTCCATTTTGTTTCATTAACTGACATTTTTATCATGTTAGATGCAAAACTATTGAAACCTCGATCTTTAATGTAAACGGAGACAGCTTACCGGGCCCGTTAATTATCGGGACTTTCGAGAAACGGGCTCCAGGAACTAGCAGGGAACTGTCTTCAAATGCTTCTGGAACTGGTTCAGTGTGTAAGCGGTGCTCAGAAGCCTTCCCCAATTCTTCGTAAACGTTAAATCAAAAACACTTAAAAAAGGCAAAATCACAGCAACAATGACCAGAGAGGTCAGCCGGATGTTGAGTAGACCTGGATCAGTAAAATCTCCAATGCCAAAGACAAAACAATCAACTGATCCTTAAGACAAGGAGAGCAGCGAGAGAAAAAAATGTAAGGAAAGAAAACAAAAATCAATGGCAAATTTCCGTTTGCAACACAAACCTTCGATGAATTGGGGCTAAAAAAGAAAAATATGACAAGATAAACGTTACATATGCGAGATTTGAGTACTGATAGCCAACAGAACTGAAATAACTGGCTATCTTATCAATTTTTTAACCTTTAAGATATGCGTGATACTAATAAATGTAGTTCTTCTCACGTTTTTAGGGACTTGGGGAGACAAAGACATTTTACCTTACAGAGACGCACGGGAACATCAAGCAGAAAATGACTACGCCATAGAAAATATACACCATTTCAGTAAAATCTAATCTCTTGGTAAAACCACCTCAAACTGAAAATATACGCACTTCACAATGACTACTGACACACCATTCTCAAGATCTCTTAAGAAGAGGGTTATAGACAGTCTGCTTTAATTTATGAGCTATACAAGGATCTAGCATGGCTAGTAGAGCAAAAAGAGAAGAAATCGCTTTAATGCCTCTATCACGAAAAGTTGACCGAAATGGAGATATATTCGCGCTTTTTAGACCGAATCGCCGGTGTATTTTGACGCTCAATTTGTTTGTTAAACAGGGATAGTCTCGTCACTGTTTGATTGTACCTCATATTTAGTTTTTATAAAATGCAAGTTCAAACGACTCCCATAAAGTTTAGCTCAACTGTGGTTCTACAGAAGAAGAAGAAAAAGAAGAAGAACAGCGCTTTCGAATTACATGAGGTCATAAAGTCAAGGTTCCTACTGTTGCTCACCCGTGTTCAAATGTCCAGGGTTGTTTATAAGGCTAGTTTTTGGGACTGCCAGGATGTCTGCATAGGTAAAACTAAACGTAGATTGCATGACAGGAAAACGGAGGACTTTAAATCAGCCTTGCTTTTTATAAGTTTGAGGGCTTCACAACTGAATTGCTCGCGTGTAAATTGGCATGGGTTTGGACTACCTCTCACTGGATAAGGATGGTTGGGTAGGGGCGGGGGGGGAGTCTTTCGGTGCAAAACGTATTTGAGTAATCCTAGGGAAGTATGTACTGCCATGGTGCGACGAAAATTTTTTTATTTATTCACAAGACAGGTCAGATCGCTCAGCACTGGGCATTTTAGAAATTTACAAAAAGGTGAATTTTTAAACACAAAGTAAATAAAGGTTAGTTAAAAAAAACTGTTTGAATGGCGTGAAGAAGAGAAGGGACCGCTTGTTATCTATGGGTGGGTGGGGAGATGAGTGAGAAGTTAAATCAGTTTTTCTTTCTTCGATGTTGACGTTTTTTTTTTCATGTTCCCCTTAGTGAATCTGGAATTTCTTAAGGCTGTCCCCTATTGATTATCCTATCGAGAAAGAATTTCAATACCCCCCTACTATCAAGTAATCTGGTTTCAAATAAAATATAAATGTTTCAGTTTATGACCATTTATCCATGTCGTAATTTTGTGGGGGCGAGCACCCAACGTCAATTTTCGGAATATATCTGTTCGGAAGACGGTTTGAGATCTAGAATTTTCGGAACATTTGCTGTAAAATTTCTTGCTTGCCTGCCTCTCCTAGGATTTTCGAACATCTAAAAAATGGTATAATTGCCCATTTTTAACGGATTGTTACCCTAAAAAGGTCACCTGGAATTTTCGGGAGCCTTTTTTCTGGCTGAAATTTTCGAAAAGGAAAGTTTTGATCCCTATGATTTTCGGATCACTAGACTTTCAGCTATGAAATCCGAACTAAGGCTAAAATACGTTTAACAATGCTATGTTTAAGTAGTGTTGAACTATATTCTTGTTGGGTGCCCCTGAGATATAGTAAAGCCGAGGTGATTTCTTAAAATCGTTTGAGCAAATTTTCTAGTAAACAATTTACGTTTTTTTACGTACGAATTGTAAAAGGGACAAAGTCCAACAGCTTCACGTGCAACTTGTGTGCATAAGGTTTTTTTTTATGATCCTGGGCTCAGTTGTTCGAAGGCCGATTAGCGCTTAACCCGGGTTAAATTTAACCCGGGTTTCTCCTTCTTGTGTTCAAAAGCATTTTCTCGGATAATTTTTACTTCGGCGGAGCGCGAAGTAAAAGATTCTCGACGCTCAGGAATGTATCAAAGTTGACTTTTTTTGACAAGATTAGGCACGCAAAGTCCGCAGGTTTTCGGTTTTATTCGGCTATTTGACGAAGTGAGAGCCGAATTAATTAGTTCGAGATATCTTGAGATCACTTCGATTTCTTTGATTTATTCTTTAACTTTTTAGAGGAAGAAAGAATTATTATTTTGGCTTTGCCGGGGTTTGAACCGACTCACCTGTGTGACCCGTTAGATCAGAGGAGACTCTAAGTTGAGGGATCAGCCGATTGCGCTACTGCGACCCAAGGTAGTTCACTAGTTTCGGGACAAGATTGGGCCTGCAAGTTCGTGACTTTTCGGCT